AAAATATTTAGAAGGTGCCTATTTTAAAAGTAAGTTTTGTAAAAGTTTAAGAGTTTCTGGATCAATAATTGAATTATCCTTAATATTACAGTAATAAGAAAACAAGATCGTTAGTCCCACAAATACTAGTGGCAGTGACTCCGTGTTGGTCTTCTCTTCCTACTTAACATAGTGTCTCAGTGCTCCTTCTCACAGGCTCAGTCCAGACACACTGTTTCTCTTCCATGTTCCCTGAATCAATTTTAACACAGGGTTTCATACCCTTCTCAGCAGAATGACATTAACTAATGTTCCCTCTACCTCTGTGTACTGAGAGGCTGTGACCGTATGTATATGAAATTATTCCTGGCTTATTCATTCCACTTATTGAAATGAACAGCTCATATGTCATGTTTTAAAATTTAGTTAGTTACCACCATTAGGTACAAAGTGCCCCCCAAAATGACAGGGCCAGAGCCAATGGTATAAATGACAGTGGGGACTCGGGCTGGACCCTGACCAGTTAAAGAGGATTGCTAATTGAACAAAAGCTGGAAATCACTTTTCTTCAGAAACTTGTGAAGTGGGTTTTTGTTTGTCATGAAGAGACATTTATTTCTCTTATCTGCCCCTACAGCCAACTCCCTCCAGCAATGGAACTTCTAGTTCCTCATTCGCACGTATCTAACACCTACCAAAGTCCCCATATTAGCTCAAGGCTCTTCTGTTCCTACTAAGACATACCTATAACACATTTCCAAGCTTCCACATGAACTCTCAGGCTCTTCTTGCCCATACTCTAACCTCCAGGCTGTCCCCACTTCCATGCCCCCCCACCACACACATACCCCTTTAAGACTTGCAAAGCTTTCCCTACCATTTGCTGTTCTCTCTGTCCCTCAGAGACAGTCTTGACATTTTGAATGTGTTTTTCTTCCCAAGTATGGAATAGTCTAGTTTGGTGGTTTCACTCTGCCCTCGGTTACTCCCACAATACATTGTCTCTCAACTTATGCATTTTATTGATAGCAATGCTTGTATTACTATAACTCTAAACTACTGACCTTTGAATATTGATTTTAAGGATTATATCACATTCTTTGAGGACTGAAAAAACTACATCAATATAGATTATAGTTATCACAGAAATTTCAGAAATGATACAGTTATAGGTTAAACTTCATTAATAGTAATACAAATATTTGTTTTTAATTCTTTCTTTTTGATGAAAGATTCTCTTAAGTTCATGACAAGTTACTCTAAATGTGCATACTCAAGTTCCTTACATCCTTTAAGCCTCTGAGCATCTGTACCAATTTGACCATGCAATCTTGATTTTGCTGTGGGATGTATTGTTTGTCACAC